AAATAAAAATGAGATCTTGTTTTATTCCTATTAGGCTGATAAAAGAGAAAAACAGTTCTAATATCGATTACTATTATGGTTTATGGAAAAGTGAACTGATACATTGCTGGTAGAAATGTAAAGTATTATGAGCTTTTTTGGGGAAGTACTATGGAAACATTTATGATCAATGAAAACATAGGGATCCTAGCCACGCATGCGCAGCACCTATAGTCCCAGTTACTCCTAACCTTGAGGGAAGAGGATCACTGAAGCCCAAGGGTTTGAGGGCACCCCAGGTAAATAAAATAAAATATAGGTATCCTATTAAAATAGATTAAAGACAAAGCAAAAACAACAAATACAGGTATTCTTAAGACCCAGAACCCATTCCTAGGAAAGTATCCCATGGAAATAAAAATATCAATGGGTAAGACCACATACATGCACAGGGATACTGAAGTCATTCACATTTATTTTCACAACTGGAAATGAAACAAATGTCCATCAATGTAATGATGGCTGACTAACCTGTAAACACTCACTCTGCGGAATATTATGCAGTTATTATAAAGAATGCATCAGAACCAGTCACACAGGTAAAATTTTAAAGGACTTCAACAGCATACACTGACAAGGCAACTGGGACTCTCACTGCACTGTTGGTTGGCATGCCAAATGGTACAATCACTTTGGAGAAAGATATGATGGTTTATGATGGTTTCCTGAAAACTAAACATATACCTACCCTGTATGACTCATTAATTCTGCTCCTACATCTATCTCCAAAAGAAATTACAATTTATGTCCACAAAACAATTTTATTTGTTCAAGATGTTCATAGCAGCTTGATTCAAAATAACCTCAAAAAAAAAAAAAGGCAGAAATAGGAACAGATACACAATACAAAACTCATTTATATTCATTCAATGGAACTCGGTGAGAAAAGGAACTACTGCTACACACATCATGGTGAATCTCAAAAATATTACCCTTAGGGGCTGGGGTTGTGCTTTAGCTCTAAAGCGCTTGCCTCTCGCATGTAAGGCATGGGGTTCTAACCTCAGCACCACATAAAATAAATAAATAAAAATATTGTGTTCATCTACAACTAAAATAAATAAATAAATAAAACCACCTGGTGATTCAGACAATGAAATTGGATAACAACAAAAAAATATTATGCTGAGTGCAAGATGCCTTACACAAAAGAGTACAAAGTGTAAGATTCTATTATATGAAGTTCCCTAGTGGGAAAAA